GATTCCAGGCACATCCCATTTTCCTGGCACAACCACATCCTGACCTCGCTTTAAGTTAGGAGAAGAGGAAGCTGCCTCCCAAATTTGGTGGTCCTCGCGCTTACCGTTTAGGAGGAGTTCTTGAACAAACGGCCTTGCAGACGGATGGATAGATGCACAAATCTCTAACATATATAGATAGATTTTTCTTCCCATCATTTTATTCTTTTGAACTTGGCCAATAAAACGTAGGCATTGGTGATAATTCTTCGGTCTGTGCTGGAGTAGGTGACGGCCCCACAGAGCCAGAGGAATTGTGCAATACGTAGGTGAACGATTAGAATCACCAAACTAATATGAGTCTTCAGTCAGAGCTGTGCTCGCAGTCCTGAAGCCCAGTTTCGCATGCGCTGCACCTCTGCCGCAGAAACACCATTTTACACCAGAGATTAGTTTGAAACAATGTCATTTAGATATTAGCCCTTTAAAAATGGATCTCCTGAAATAGAATGAGGGCAGAGGGAGTGAAGGTGGAAGAAGCTGTTGTCGCCAAGAGAGTCAGGCACAGAAATGGGATTTTGGAAGCTGCTTCTCTTCTAGAATTCCTCTCACGAATGGGCGATGCGACTGGTTAGCAATTTGCGTTCCAGCCATGCTGCTGTGGAGTCGATGGGGACTTTGCCAGCGGAGCAAGCATTGGCCCTGAAAGAGTTCAGAGCTCCTGCCCTAAGTTACAGCTGAGTCCAGATATTTTCAGATGTTCCTGGTCTGCTATTGGCAAGAGATGCAGCTACTTTCTTTTCCTAGGTCTTCCAGCAATGAGGCAGGGGATCACGTTACCCTGGAAAGACCCAGGGCACATCCATTTGGCCAGAAAGCTCTTTGACTCTATTCTGATTCAGTCCCTGGAGGAATAAAACAACCAGATTATATTTTTGAAACGGGAAAACCCACATTTCTAACCCATCTGGAAGGGCTCTCAGGAGCTCCTGCTGTTTGGGTTTACTGACACCTTCTCCTGTTTGCATTGCGATGAAGTGCATCTGCTCTCTGTCTTCCACCATAAAATGTTCCAAAGAGCGTCTGGAACAAGGTCTCTTCCAGGCAGACAGCCAAGCAGCAATACGGCAAAGGTGTTAAGGTTTCTCTGAAGACAATTAAACACGGGATATTGGCTCTGGGTTTAGCTGGGAGTCTCAAACTCCTTAGCTTGATCTATCACATTCCACAAAGAAGAAATTGCCTTCTGTGATGACATACCTGGCTCTGTGGATATGGGGAAAGCAGTGGACATGATATACCTTGACTTTAGCAAAGCTTTTGATACAATTTCCCACAGTATTCTTGCCAGCAAGTTGAAGTAGCATGGATTGGATAAGTGGACTGTAAGGAGGACTGAAAGCTGGCTAGATTGTTAGATCAATGAGTAGTGTCTAGTTGGCAGCCAGTATCAAAGGGCACATCTACACAGCAGGGCTAAAGTCGAATTAAGCTGCGCAACCTCAGCTACGTCAATTGCGTAGCTGAAGTCGAAATAGCTTAATTTGGCACTGCAGGAAGTTTGCGAAAATGTAAATTTAGTTAAAATTCCAATTCTCAGTGGAAACACAGTGTGGACATGTTTCCACCAGCCTGCCCCCTGCAGATGAGCCGAACACAGAGTTTCCACAGTCAGAAATGAGCAGCTGCCCCGTGGGGGGTTCAGTGGATGATTTGCGAAGTCATTAGCTCCCTAAATAGCCCACATTCCAATTCATCAAGGTCCCACATATCCCCTTCCACAGCTGCCCTTGGCCAAGGGTGGAAACACGCACGGCCTCTGCTGACAAGGGCCCCTGGCCACAGACACCACATCCTAATGTGGCCCAGACCTGGTCGGGAGCCCATTTCCTGCAGCATTCTGACGATCCAGATATGTGGGGAAGGTGCCACTGGATTCAGTTATCTAGCCCAGTTCTCTGGTGTCAATCCGCTTAGCTCCGTTGACTCCCAGGCCACTAAACAGCAGATGAGAATCTGGCCCCTTGTTTCCATGCACTGCTGGTCTCTCAGCACACCTCTCTATTCCTGCTCAGGACCCACATGGCTGAATATCTCCAGGGAACAGTGTTCCCTGTAAGCTGAGCCTTTGGGCGGCCACCCAGAAGAGATCCAGGTGCTGCCCAGCTGATTGGCAGAGCACCCACAGCCAGCAGTATGTGTTTATATTGGTGGTACACAGCCGCACGAGCCGTGGTGCACAGAGAAAAATTTATTCCGCACATAGATGGAAACACTTAAAGGGAACATTGCCTGGGAAGTCTCTGAATTCAACGTCCAAGGAGAATGAGGGTGGCCCTGTAATGGTACTGGCCCAGTTCTCAGAACATTGCTCCTGCTACCTCTGACAGAGCCATTTGGCTCAACCAATTTCCGGTGAAAGTGTAGATGCTGCTGTGCGCCAGCCACGTGAAAAGAGAAGGCGGCAGCATGCCCATCCTGCAGTGTCCTCTGCGGCCCAGGGTGAGTTCAATACCCCAAGGACTTTTTCTTGGCAGCCTCTGTGTGCAAGTCAATTCCAGCGTCTGTGCAGAGCACTGTTGGAAATTGACCGGTGAGCCCTGACAGCCGCTCACGGGCAACTCCTTTGCCTCTGCCGACTGGAAAGTTTTGATCAGTTGCAGGGTTTTGTGTTTTGTGCCTCCTGATAATTTGCCTGCCAGGATGTTTGTTTATAACCACAGTGTTTGTAGGAGCTGTCGTTTTTCTCTGGTCAGTTTCCAGTGACCCGGGGGGCAAACAGCAAAATGGCGATTTTGTTAGCTGTCAGCACAGTCACCGACACCGGTTTTCCAGATGGGGTTTATGCGAGCCAGAGTCCCAGTGGTGCATTTTTGGCCATTGTTACGAGCTTGATTTTTGCAGAATGCCAGCAAATCAGAGACTTGCTTGAGCCAAGGTGCCAAATGGAGTGAAAATGAACCGTTTATTTCCTGTTTCCCTTGTATTCTAGGTGAGAAAGGAGGAGTAGATGTGAGGGGAAGGTCACAAGGGACATGGGAGGCACCAGGAGAGGAAGTATAACCATCTTTAGTTCTGTACTTGTACAGCGCATAGCACGGGGGTGGGGGGGTTGGTCCATGACTCTGGCTCCTATGCCCTATGCTAATACAACCAATAACAGGGATTTCAAACACTTACTGTACTACAGCAAATAGACAGCCACAGCTCCCAACCTGCCAGCTACAGCAGCTGCCTTGCAGGGAGGGCGCCTGGTGGTTTCATATCACCAAGCCAGCAAATCAGAGGCAAGCGGGGGGGAGGTTACAGAAGGAGCACTTGCCGACTGGTTGAGGGCAGGCAGGGGACAAAGGAAGGGAGGTTTCGGGGGAAGGGGCAGTTGCTGTCTGGGAAACATGAAGGAAGCAGCCTTAGCTGAGGGCTGAGGGTCTAGTGATGACAATGGACCCCCTAATCCAAGGGGTCTGAGGCATCCTGGCCCTGACTCCTGAAACTACATCACGTCTGTGCTGGGCTGTATCCTGGAGGAGCAATAACCCCCTTTCTATACTGCTGGTTGGTGGAGTCTCATCTTGCTGCAGACGGGGTGCAGGATCGGGAGCTACCCGACGTGCCGCCACACCTTGAACATGCAATTTTACAGGCAGGTGTGTTCAGGTGCCCCCCAGACTTCTCTCGCGTACCCCAAGGGTCCGTGTCCCACGGGTTGAGACACACGGCATGAGAGCAGCGGGTCAGAAGTCTGTCACTGGCAGCCAGCCTGTGGAACTGGCCTGCAGCCATTTCTCGTCTTTAGAAGTGGACAGGAGGAACATTGGGAACATTTTAGTCGTGACTGACCATTTTACCAGCTCTGCGCAGGCATATCCCACAGGTGACCAGAGGGCTACCCGGGAGAAAGAAGCATTTTTCAGTGTCTGGATTCACTCAGACCTGACATAGGACTTTGAGAGTGACCTTCTGAAGGAGGTGCCAAGAATGGTAGGAATGAATTAGTTCGTACCTTACCGCTCCCGAGCTGGCCCTCAGCCAGAACGATTTAATCAGACTCTTACGTCTGGGTGATCTGCCGGTCATCTCTAGGGAGAGAAAGCATCCTGGAGCCCGCACGTTGTGGTTTTGGTGCCACGAAGAATGATGCTACGGGAGTCGCCCCGTGTCTCTTGATGTTTGGTCGAGAGCTGAGATGACCCATTGACCTGGGCTGGGGGGTATCACAGGATGGAGAAAGCGACGAGATACAGCTGCAGTTTATGTCCAGCCAAAGAGAAAAACTGCAGGAGGCCTAAAGCTCTCCCACAGCTGCTGCCCACAAAAAGACCGTGAAGGCTGATTCCCCACTCTGGCACCATTAATGCAGAAGTGGGGGCCCGCAAAAGGACTCCAAAACCTTATCTCTCCAGGCTTTGGTATAAAACCTCCCCCCAAAATCCTAAAAACCTAGATTCTGGGGATAAAGATCTGCTGCCAACACCCAAGTAATGATAAGAAAACCAGGGAAGAGATCACTTGGGAAATCTCAGCCCTAAGATAAAACCAGGACACAAAAATTAACCAATATCAGGTTAATAAAAAAGAAAGAACTTATCACCACAATACTCCTGTTACAAGCCTCGTTGGATTGGCTAGATGGTAAGAGCCACCAGTTAATAAACTCATGGGGAATTTTCTCATGGGAACAAAACTTAGTTACAAAAGAAAGGAAACCCCTTTTCTAAATGCACAGACATCAGATTCCCATTCCCAAGCCATAAAACAATAAAACCTAACGGATTTATCTAGACTTTGCCCTAGTTACAGATGGTGAAGAGTCTTTTCTTGGAGAGAGACATGTTGTCTGTCCCCCTCAGTATCTGGAGAGAGACTGCCCAGGGACAAAGGAGGGAAAACCCCCAAATTCCTTTGTCCCGGTTTGAAATCCCTATCTGCATTTCTATTGGCTGACTGCTACCTGGCTAGGCACAGTTAACCCCGTAGTCCCCAGGCTGCTGGCCATCCCTCATGACCATGACGAAGACAGATAGTAACAAGCACCAGCACAATGCAAGAGTGCGCCTGCAGGAGCTCCAGCCAGGGGACAGAGCTCTGCTGCGGAGGCCGTGCCCGTGCATCTGCGTCTACGTTACTTCTCCCTGATTGGTCCTGAATGCTGAGCTCGTAGCAAGCCAAGGCAGCCACCCAGCTCTGCCCAGTAGCACCCAGCTTAGCACTGGTCATCACGGATGTCAGTGGATTGTGGCCGGTCCGCACTTGAAACCCAGCACCAGACAAGTAGTCATGAAGGGTATGTCTAGACTACATGGCGTAAGGGATCGGTCGGCAAAGGCTTCCCCAGACGACAGTTCTGTGTCTAGACTGCCGCGCGGTGCCGGATCAGCTGATCGTCGGCACAGCACGGTGGCCATGTTTATTTTAATGAAGTGGGGATTATTTAAATCCCCGATTCTTTGACTATGCCGGGTAAACTAATTGACATGGCTTCGTTGACAGAGCCATGTCATCTAGACGCACCCGCAACGTCTCAGCGATGGCCCATTTCAAGGCCAAGGACTCCAGCTTGTGGACGTGGTGCGGGGTTTCACTGCCAGGCAGTCCACAGCGGGCAAAAGCCACGGGTTTCCATTGCACGTGTCAACCGTAGCCTCTCTACGGGGGACGTGCTACGTCAAACTGTGTCACATCCTTGGGCACAGTGGGGACATGCCCCGTGGTCATTACAAAATCGCGTGCTACAAAATTGACCTTAATGCAGTCAACTTTATCTCATAGTGTAGACCAGGCCTTCGTGAGGACACTACCTGTGCTGGCGGGAGGGCTTCTCCCATGCATAGGACTCTATTAGTGGCGTAGCGAGGAGGGATTGGGGGGACAGTTGCCCCTGGGTGCCATGGTAGGGGGGGGCGCCAATTTAGCTGTGCATGTCCATCATAAATCGCACTACACTCAGCACCCGCTAACTGGTAATATGCAAACTTTCTATTTCGTTCTTCAAACACAGACCCTCCTGACTTCCTCCTAAGGGGTCTGGATAATGTAGCCCCGCAAGGTGAACTCATGGTCACAGTCCAGTTTCTCCGCCTGCTCCCCTCCTTTGCAGAGCCGTGCAGCACCGTGCCAATGGAAGGTGAGCTGCTGGGGGCGGGACCGCAGGATGGGGAAGGCTCAGCTGGCCAGCTCTTGGTGGTCTCTGACTCCACAGGGCTGCACGTAATAACTGCCCAGCTGCTCCAGGGCTTGGGGGGCAAATTTTGCCCCCGGGGGTATAACATTCTGGCTCCACCACTGCACTCCACCTCCCTGCAAGGCCCACGGGAGATGCCCGCCTGTCGACAAAGCTGGGTTCGGTCAGTGAAGCTCGGAGCACCCCGGAGCAGCACAGTTGTCCTGGCATCTGTCCCTAGCACAGGATGAGCCTGGGAACAGCACTCACATAACAGCCCTGAGACAGGAGGAGGCTGGTGAAGGGCGTGTTTCCAGGCCGCATGGTCATTAGTGGTTGCTCTAAAAATGCAAGTCTGCCTTTCCCAGCTTCTGAAATCCTTCGTGGTGTCAGCAGCTCCTCCTGGCACCCCGTTCCACCCCCAATTCCCACTCCTAACCTCAACCAGCAGTTCACACACGTCCAAACCTACCAACCCCAATAGCTGGGGATTGAAGTGGTCCCTGGAGGCCTATCCTATTCCTTCCGGCCTCGTCTCCGTCCCTTTAATTCTTGGCACCCAACGTGGGCCGTGTCTTCCCTCTTGGAGTACCCAGCCTTTTTCAGTGAGTGAATCTGGGGAAGGATCTGGAGAAGGGGGAGAGCTTTACCCCAGTGTGCCGATTAATTTTCGTCTCAGGTCCCTGTCCATTTCATTCCTACTCAAGGTGCCTCTTTGTCTGGCTGGGGCAGTAGAAAACCAATCACAAAGTCAAGCTCTTCTACAGGACTCGCAGTAAGAGGGCAGCGAGATGCTCAAAGCACAAGATCAATGTCGTTCGGCACGGTGCTCCAGCACCAGCACGGAAATGCGGCCACTTCTGGGGTGAGCCATGGCTATACAGCATCCTTGGGAAAGAAGGGCCCGCGATTGTACCCAGCTGGAAATGGAGCGTGCCGCTGAGTGAAGAGAGGTCACAGCCAGAGGGAATGTGCCCGCGACAATAGAGATGCCGAAAAGCACACGACTCACTGCGAAGCAGAGTCCAGCCCACGGGGCTCGGGTGCGGAAATGGAGACTAACCTGTTTGTGTTCCTCGGAGGGCGGCAGCCGGAGGAGGTTTTTGGTCCAGCTCCTAAGATGGTGCCTTTTCTTGTCTCTTCTCAAGGGGCCCAGCAGAAATCCTGGCATCTTGATTACCACCTGCCCCTCTGATCGACTGCCTGTTCCGCCCCGGCAGTTTGCTGCTCGCTTCCCTTTGTTTTCCCGGCTGCTTTCCCCTCGGCAGCCCGGCGGGAGCATGGGGCCCAGCCTGCCTCTCTGGGCTGAGAAGCCTCTCGAGATGACCTGGTCCCGGCTCACGAGCCCTCCGGAAAAGGCACCCTGCCTGCAAAACAGCTTCAGCAAGGTGACCCAGGGAGGAGATGACCAGGCACCTCAGTCCTGGGGTGAGCAGCTCCCGTGCCCCCCCATAGAGTCCCCCACGAGCTCTCATTGCAGGCCGCTCTCCAGCCTCATTTCCCGAGCGTGTGGCGTGGCAGCGTGGAGCAGGGAGGGCGGGCGAGGGGCTCAGAGGCCACATAAGAGTCCTGTGAGCACGTCTTGTCTGGCCAGTAGCCGCAGTGCAGCACAGGGGCCAATCTGGCCCTTCACATGTGGCCGTGCAGGCCACAACTATCCCTGCCGGTAACGCGGAGGTGCCGCTTCCAGTGGCTGCAGCCACCAGCAGGGCTGCTGGACGCTGCGTGTGGCAGGGCCGCCCCGCATGTTGAAGAATCAGAGAGGGCAGTGCTGAGTGGGGAGGAAAACTGGCTGCATGTGACCTCGGGGGTTGGGGGGAGAGGAGGGAGGGAGGGAAGAAGGGAGGGAGAGAGGGAGGGAGGAAGGAAAGATGGGAGGGAGGAAGGAAAGGAGGGAGGGAGAGAGGGAGGGAGGAAGGAAGGAAAGAAGAGAGGAAGGAAAGGAGGGAGGGAGGAAGGAAGGAAAGAAGGGAGGGAGGAAGGAAGAAAGGGAGAGAGGGAGGGAGGAAGGAAGGAAGGAAAGATGGGAGGAAGGAAAGGAGGGAGGGAGAGAGGGAGGGAGGAAGGAAAGGGAGGGAGGAAGGAAGGAAAGATGGGAGGAAGGAAAGGAGGGAGGGAGAGAGGGAGGGAGGAAGGCAGGAAGGAAGAAAGGGAGAGAGGGAGGGAGGAAGGCAGGAAGGAAGAAAGGGAGAGAGGGAGGGAGGAAGGCAGGAAGGAAGAAAGGGAGAGAGGGAGGGAGGAAGGCAGGAAGGAAGAAAGGGAGAGAGGGAGGGAGGAAGGCAGGAAGGAAGAAAGGGAGAGAGGGAGGGAGGAAGGAAAGGGAGGGAGGAAGGAAGGAAAGATGGGAGGAAGGAAAGGAGGGAGGGAGAGAGGGAGGAAGGAAAGAAGAGAGGAAGGAAAGGAGGAAGAGAGGAAAGGAGGGAGGAGACCTCATGTACTCCAATGCAGAGTAAGAAACTATATTCAGGCTCTCAGCCCAGGTACGATGGAGAAGAAAGGTTTGGAGGGGGGGCGTTAATCTGAGGGAAGGCATCCCAAGAAGACCTCCATGAACCGGAAGACCCAGAGTGCATTGTCCTAGGGGGAGGGTTCCGCAACGACCACGCCCAAGAGGAGGAGATGGGAGGTGGTGTCTGGGGACCCCCTCCTCAGGGGGATGGAGTCGTCCATCTGCCAGGCAGACCAGGAAACGTGAGAAGTGGGCTGCTTGCCTGGAGCTAGGATTCAGGGTGTGATGGAGTCTCTGCTGAGACCGCTGGGACAACGGCCCCTTCCTGCTTCTGTAGGCAAAGGAATAGGGCCTGCGTGACTGGACTACAAGGTGGCTAGGAAGCTGGGAGATCGTTAGGCTACGTGGGTACAGCTGGGTGGGGGTGAATGGAATCACAACCGTCTGCTGGTTGGCGTTAGACCCGCTCCAGTGTTTGCAGTTGTGTTGTCTGGCAGCACCTGGAGGCCTGAACAAAAGACCCCACCCTGCTCTCCGCCAGAAGGAGAATCTGGCCGGAAAGCTGCAGGCCGGGCTCTTCCAGCGCCAGCTTCCTCCAGCCTGGATGCTGTGGAGTCGTCATTGGAAGGTGGGCTTGGGAGACAGGGTAAAAATAGAGACGCCGGCGCTAAAAAGCACGGGCCCATTTTAAACCTCTGTTGCAAGCTAATTTAGGAAGCTAATTACACAAGAAACTTAATGAGCTTCTAATTTGCCAATTATATATTGCTGCTTTTCAAAGCAATCTCCATTAGGTGCCCCCGTGTGAGTAACTGCGACCAACTACGAAAGCCCCACGGCTCCCTCACGCCAGACGAGGAAGCTGTCTGGGGGGCGTTTGTTGACCATGGCCCATGAGGGTGGTGCCCTGAGGGGGTGGGCTCCTGTCTTCTCTACATGGGGAATTTTACCAGCACGATTAGACTGTGCTCGTCGAACTCTTACACGTCCAGTAGCCTCTCCCTGTGGACGCCCTTCTGATTTCTCGGACAGCCAGGCTCCCTTTTTGAACATAAATCTCCCCAGGTGAAAGACCAATTTCCTCCTCCTCCCCCCGGAGCTCGTCTCCTGTATTTGCACCAGAGTCAACTGTCATTTCGCCCCCACACCGCTGCTGCGGGGCCTGGTCTCCTTGCGCTGCGCCATATTCTTGTCTTACTTCCTTATTGCTCTTTGCCGCCCGTTTGAAAGAAGCCCTGGGAAGCGCGTCCTCTTTCTATGTCCCAGCTTTGTGGCTCGCGGCCGCAGGTGCACGGGCAAGATGTGGCAAGGCCAAGTCGGTCAACTCGTTTGGGAAACAATTTGGTTTGGTTCACTCCAGCGGCAGTTACGACATTTCTTTCCCATTTTAAGCAATGGGCTTAAACTGCAGCAAGGGAGGTTTAGGTTGGACATTAGGAAAAAGTTCCTAACTGTCAGGGTGGTGAAACACTGGAATAAATTGCCCAGGGAGGTTGTGGAATCCCCATCTCTGGAGATATTTAAGAGTAAGTTAGATAAATGTCTGTCAGGGATGGTCTAGACAGTATTTGGTCCTGCCATGAGGGCAGGGGGCTGGACTCGATGACCCCTCGAGGTCCCTTCCAGTCATAGTATTCTATGATTCCTGCTTGTATGGAAACTATGTTCCTCTCTGCATCCCCTCCCTCCCCCGGACACACCCCATGAACACCAACAGCCCACACTTCCAGCCCCCGAGGAGAAGAGAACCCCCACCTTCATAACATACCCCAAGGAAACCCAACTGCTTCCATTGACATGAGATTGCAGTGATATCACAGATTTCCTTTTAGGGAACCAGGAAAATAGCTGTTTGTTTTGTTTGGATAACAATAGTGTGACTGAGTTACTTTGCTGGCTGCAGAGTGAGGGAATGTTTCTTGGAACAGTTCTGAGCGGAGTGACCACCTACAAAGAAGAATCTATGCAGAGATCTCAGAAACTGTGGCTACGGATGGAACCATTTCTGGAAGGATGGAAGTAAATCCTACCCGCCTGGTAGTTATGTAAATCATGCTAGACCAAAGGGCGGAGCAGTTGAGGGGGAAATCTCGCTCCCCTGGGGTACAGAGCCCCCAGAAGGGTCCGAGGCCGGAGGTCAAATCAAATCAGTGAGGCAGGAGAGAAACCTAGAAGAGAAAACTTTATGATGCATGCATGCAGGCTGTTACACCAAGAGTGAAGCAGCAGCCCTGACAGACAGATTCAGGTATCCTTTATACAGAATGCTTAGACAGCTCAGTTGTGGATTGTTTTTCTTTAACATATCAAAGTCTCAGCAGAAGCACTCTGAGACTTCTGTTCACCCCAGGAGTGCTAGAAGTAAGTTTTACAGAACAAAGCCATATGAGAATGTGGAGTGGAGAAGTCTACAAGGCAAACTGTGACAAAGATAAGGGTTTACATGACAAATTGTGACAGACTAGGAGTATCCATGAACTTGAGATAGGAGGCATTGTAAGGGTCTTTGATTAGAGCTAATTTGATTTCTCTCTGTTACAGGGAGAGAGGCCTGGAAAACTTTTTAACCCTTACAGCAGTTTTCTTTTAGAGAGTTTTGATTTCCTGCACAGTCCCCCCTTTAGACACAATTGGAGTTATTGGATTTTCCCCACACAGTCCTGGTGAAGAGACAGCTTTTACATGCCTGAAATCCCATCAGGTTCCTATCTGCATCTCTAGCCACCGAAATATCTTTACAAATCTGGCCCTAGATGCTCACTTTAAAAAAAGGCAGAATGAGCTAGGAGAGCATCCTAGCTCTGAACACGGGGGAGAGAAACAGGAAGACTCGAAAAAACTCAGTCCCTGGAGGGTGGAGTCAGGCTATTCTCAGAGGTGACATATGACAGAACGAGGAGCAATGGTCTCAAGTAGCAGTGGGGGAGGTCTAGGTTGGAGATCAGGAAAACCTATTTCCCTAGGAGCAGGGGCGGATATAGGGCAGGGCGAACGGGGCGGCCGTCCCGGGCCCCGCGCTTCAAAAAGCCCCGCGCATGTGCCATGGCAAAGGGGGGGGCCCCGCGAAATTATGCTACCCAGGGCCCCACAAAACGGTCATCTGCCCCTGCCTAGGAGGGTGGTGAAGCACTGGGATGGGTTCCCTAGGGAATGGGTGGAATCTCCATCCCTACAGGGCTGTGTCTAGACAGGCCAGTTTTTCCGGAAAATCAGCCACTTTTCCGGAAAAACTTGCCAGCTGTCTACACTGGCCGCTTGAATTTCCGCAAAAGCAGTGACGGAATTCCTACTGTAAGAAATCAGTGCTTCTTGCGGAAATACTGTTCTGCTCCCGATCAGGCAAAAGTCCCTTTTGCGCAAAAGGCCAGTGTAGACAGCTCAGATTTGTTTTCTACAAAAAAGCCCCGATTGCAAAAATGACGATTGGGGCTTTTTTGCGGAAAAGTGCTTCTAGATTGGCACGGATGCTTTTCCGTAAAAAGTGCTTTTGCGGAAAAGCGTCCGTGCCAATCTAGACGCTCTGTTCCGAAAATGCTTTTAACGGAAAACTTTTCCGTTAAAAGCATTTCCGGAAAATCATGCCAGTCTAGACGCAGCCAAGGTGTTTAAGTCCCAGCTTGACCAAGCCCTGGCTGGGCTGATTGAGTTGGGGTTGGTTCTGCTTTTCGCAGAGGGTTGGACTTGATGACTCCTGAGGTCTCTTCCAACCCTTCCTGGGGACAGTTTCCAGGGATGAATCTGCTGAAGCACCACCCAGGAACATCCTATCACCTAGGGGTTCAGCCACTCACCTAAGAGGGGTCACTGGAGGCTCCCTGTTTAAATCTCTTTCCCCCCCCTCTGGTGAATGGGGGGACTTGAAAGTGGGTCTCCCACTTTCCCAATAATCCAACCATGGGGCTACAAGTGTAGCAGAGGGCCTCTTCCCTCCCACCCCACACCTGATACTTAAAATAGCACGGACAGTCGAAGAAAAACG